CACAGGTAGGAAATAGTTTACACATCCAGAATCAATCTGCAGAGCTCGACTGTAAAGGTGCTGATTTGAGCCTCTTTATGAGGCCCTCAACTGCTAATTGATCCATTTAGAGTACTTACAGTTTACAGTAAACATTTGTTTCTGAATACATTTTGCCATTCTAAGAGAGGTGTAAAAAAGCAAATATTTTGGGTTATTTAACCTGAAATAATTTCTGTCATTACAATAATGACAGGAGAATGGCTACCAAACCCTATAATATTGTCCTCATTATAAAGTTCTTAACTCTTTAAATACTGTTCCAAGAAAAATTAGAGAAACAAAGTATGAAAAAAATAAACCGAAAACATTTTTGAATGTTCAGAATTTATTAGCATGCTATAAATCATGTCATGTAGTCTTCTGGCTGCTGTTATCAGATATATCTGATTGTGTCCAACGGGGTATTGAGCAAAGTTTGAACCATCAAATGATGCAAAAGGTCTGAGATGCAAAACATTTGACAAACCGTGTATCAAATATGATACATATGGCTTTATAGGGTTAGTGTGGTAGATTTCAGGGCCTGTTCCTGAGCTGCTGTAAATGCTACCTCTTTTTTATAGCCCCTAATATGCCTTCAGCCTGTTGGTGGTACATGCCATATAGGGGCTAATCCTGCTGTGATGGTTCCGTCTCCACTTACCTCCTTCCCTTACCTGGGTTTCACCTTCCTGGAATAGCCTCACCATTCACCCCTTGGGGCCATACTGCTGATGTAATCCTGGATTTTTGTTGTTTCATCCTGGATAGTGGCTTTGGCAAGATAAGATAAATTATTAGTAAAGAACAAATATACAAAGTGGGTGGATGATTTTTTAATAAAACTATAAATGAGAGAAGATGTTAAGCCCCAAAAGGCTGGGTAGTGTTGCTGTGAGCCCAGAAGTACCCCATATGAGCCTAGAGCAGTTTCCATAACAGCAGTGGTGCAGTTAGGAATAGAAAGAGGAGGCCCTGGCCAGAGTGTTCTGGAAGCTACAGAACTGAACCAAGCACGAAAATAGACTTTAGCCTGAATGTTTTAATGATGATGTTGTGATTATGAGAAAATATATTGTATTTGAAACCAACTGTGAGTAAAAATTATGTCATAGTTAATATTGGCCAGATTGAATGATGGTTGAATAATTCTTGACGATTATTTCAAGAACACGATTACAAAATGAATAACTCATGATGAGATCATGAAATCTTGTGGCTATGAATTATGTTTGCTCTTGAGCTGACTGGCTGGGTGATGGGGTCGAAGGTAAAAAGAGAAGGGGTCAACTAGAAGAGCAGTTTGACAAATGGAAAGCTGGTGCAGACCACCTGTATAGGGAGACTACCGGAGATCTAACAGTAGGGTACAGTTGTTCATTATTTGACTTTATTCCTCCCATTCAGCTGACTCCTCGGGGCCTGACTTACCAAGTGCAGGTGCTTGCTTGTGGCTGACTTGGTTGCAGCCTTTTCATATGGTATTGGCACACAGTTGGATGGAACTGCTTCTATCTTGGAGTCTTTGATGATAAGGACTGTTTGATCTTATTTTGGGGGGTGGCTAGATCCATCAACAGCTGTTACTTTTTGCTTCTTGGTGTTGATTAGGTGCTTAGGTGCTGTTAGTTTCTTTTTCCTGTAGTTCTTGGTTGTGTATCATGTCAGGGCCTGGTGCAGTGCAGCTCTTCATATCTGGTACTGTTCCTTGGATGTCTGCCACTGATAGTCATTGGTTTTTGTTCTTCTGCATTGCCTTGGTGAATCGCTCTGACATTGACTTCAATTTCCAGCTTTCAAATGTTGGTCTAAATTATACTTTGTATTTGCCTACAGTAATTATGGGTTTGAAAAATCAATTTGTCCCCCATCCTTGTCTTACAACACATATCACTTAGAATGTTGGAATAGTAGCATTCCAGCAAACTGGGAATCTCCATCCTAGTCCATGAATAGCTTCTTCTAGCATATTTTTGATGGCATTAACAGTTACACAATTATGGTCACATGGTGCCTGTGTCATCTGCAACACAGGCAAAACATACAAGGTGCCATATGAAATATTCTTCTGGAAGAAAGCCCATCCAACAAACCAAGCAACATGGTTTTGCTGCACATCACTGGTTTCTAAACTTTTGCCTTTTTGCAGCATTACCAGAGCCGTCAGTCTGGAGAGCATGCATCAGCATTGTGTTATCTTGTTTGATGCATTCATTTCTCTGAAATAATTTGTCAGGAAATATGGGTGCAGAGAGAGGGGGGGGTGAGGCAGACACAGAAAATAATGTCCATAGTGAATGTCTCTTCTGAGAAGCAGATTAAAATACTTCTTCTGCCTTCACAGCAAAGACACTCACGGATGAATCGGCAGCACGGCTGCTGGCACACAGGAGGATGGAGCTGCAGGAGAGACAGAAGACCTACAGGTCAAATACTTTTTTATAATCAAGATATCTGCATTGATGTCATATCTGTTAAGATTTTATGTTTGTGTTTGTATGTGTATATGCCTGTATGTCAGATGGCTATCGTGGACTAAGGGGATTCCCGGATGTATTGATGCCAAAACAACTGCAGATTTACCCCAAGATGTCCAGTTTGACAATGAAAAGAGGAGTGATTACGAATATTCTTTAAACTATCTGTATGTGACACACACACACAATTTAGCAATATTGTAAACCATTTAAAAACATTATCTTTTCGTTTCATTAGTTTAGTTGAGATGTCTTTGAAGAAGCTGGCCATAAAATTTGGGAAGTCGTGGAGTGACCTTGATGACTTCAAACGGATATTTTGGACGATAAGAAGTCCTATAGCAGGTAGGTTAAACTCATCATTCTCTATTGATATGCTAATGGTTTGTTGAGAGCTTAAAGGGCAACTAGATCCATTTTCTGCTTTTACTCCTTTTTCCTTTTCTTGAACGTTTTGTTTATTGAACTGCTTGCAAATTCCCTTTTATTTATGTTTTCCACTTTACTCGAATGTTCAAGTGCATTCCTTCGAGTAGTGGTGGGCCCTACTTTTACCTCCTAGGCCTCCAGTGGAACCCTGTCTTGTTACGATCTGAGTAAGGACCCCAAAACACCCAGAGACGGACAGTCAGTTTAAGCAGAGTTTATTGCGGAAGGTGTGGGGGAATCCGGGGGCATGGTCAGGGGAATCCGGGTCCGGTAACGGGAAAGCCGATAATCCAGCAAAGGTACCAGTGGGTGATCCAAAAGGGGTCCAGGTCCAGTCCAGGGTCAGATCCAGGCAAGTAGTCCAAGGGGGCAGGCAGGTTCTCGAGGTCACGGGCAGGCAGAATACTTAAGACAATCGCTGGAAGTTCTTACCGGGTTGGCTCGAGACGTTCTGGCAATGGAGGCTGGCTGAAACGGATCTTAAGTGTAGGTGGAAACAGGTGGAAACAATGATGGTTGATTGCGGGATGTGGATGATGATCAGAAGTGAGACGGTTGGTGGAGCCAGCTCCAGTGCCAGGAACGTCACATGTCTGGATCAATTCACCCCTCTATGATCATTTTATGGCTATGAAAACATTATTATGCAGACATTTTTAATATTTTGAAAAACAGAAACATAATATCCACAAAAAATCCAATTTGTAAAAGAAATCCATCCTAATGTTTGTCCAGAGAAGAGTTCAGTTACTCAGTGGTATAGATTATTTTTGTGTTTCAATTCAATCAAGACCTTTTCTATCGAATCAAAGCTAATGCTTAAAGTCGAGTTTGTCCTGCCGTATTTTTGTCATAAGTTTTATCACACTTAATGGCTAAAAATTTTTGCTCGCCTGAAGCAGTGAATACGGATGTGGTCACTGCCAAATGCAACAATACAATTTCCAGTGTTTCTATCACCCTTTCGAGCAAGGGGTAACACTGGGGGTTGACAAAACAGCTTTTAAGATTGTGTGGCCAAACCCTAGTGGAAATGCAAATACCATGTATAGCTATGGTGCGGACACAGTGGTGCAAAGTAGGATATATTTGCAACTAAAGCAGAGGAAGCTTGTTGTCTGGAGTGAGGAGTCGCAGTTGAGTTATAACATAGTCCAAAGAAGATGTTGTTGACCAGTAAACACTTATCTGTTAGCTACAAAATCAAATCCAGGATCTACAGCATTAATTGGCCAACCAGCAGGTTGTGTCCTGATACTAACTTGTCGGTCTGACCTGAACCTGACCTATTGCCTGCCTATAACTCTGAAAGCTCTGACCCAATCTTTGATTTCTTAAATTTTGATAATCTGGGTTGGACCTACTCGGCTTTTCCCTAGCTGTTAACCTAAAATCATTTGGACCTGAACCTTGCCTGTTTGACCTAGACTTTATAAATAATTAACTTCCACTTCTTATTCCAACTGCTGTGTCTCTGTGTCCATCCCTGCCTGAAGTGTGACACACACATCCTCTCTCATGGACCAGGCTGTGAGACATAAGATGATGTGACCGCAGTGGGCTCCAACCAAGAGATATCTGACATTACTGCATGGTGCACCATCATGGTTATTTCATCCAGTTCTACCACATCAGGAAACACCACCAAGACCTCACAAACTACTTTCAACCCTGTCCAAGTTCCAACACCTATATTCAAGGACATGGTTTACAGAACCGCAAATCCTCAAAAGTTTAATTTAAGTTAGACTGGTAAGGTTCTTTGTCATTGAAGCACAAGGAATGCTATAGACACTGGGGTCAAAGGAGAGATCCTGGTGAGTGTTATCACTGAAGGAAGCATAAAGGAAATTCTGTTCTGCAATTTAACAGAGTAATCTTACAGTGTTGTTTTGTTTTGAGCTTACTGGTTCAAGAAGGGAGTCCAGACTTTGGTATGTCTGTTGGCTCTGGTGCAAGGGTTTTTAGGTTGGCAGAGGGTGAGCAGGAGGGCGAGTTGCATGATCCAACAGGTTGATTAATTTATCCAAACCAGCAGACTGAAAGAGGAATTACGTCGCCGTTTGACACTGGAAATGAGCAGTAAAGGAAGCACAGGAGGGAGTGGTTACAGAGATTAAACACTGTCACCAAGTTCTGACACAAAGGGAAATAACCAGGGATCTTAAATACATCCATCCATCCATTATCGTTACTGCTTATTCCCTAATGGGGTCGCGGGGGGACTGGAGCCTATCCCAGTGGTCAATGGGCGAGAGGCGGGGTCACCCTGGACACTAGCCCATCACAGGGCCACAGAGACACACAAAGATAAACAACCACGCACACTCACTCCTAAGGGCAAATTGGAATGTCCAGTCAACCTAACATGCAGGTTTTTGGACGGTGGGAGGAAGCTGGAGAACCTGGAGAGAACCCACCTCCAGACAGAGAGAACAGGCAAACCCCACACAGAAAGGTCCCGGGTCCCCCGGAACTTGAACCCAGTACCTTCTTGCTGTGAGACGACAGTGCTAACCACCACACCATCTTCAATACAGAGGACAGTAATTAGCTAATGAACAGCAGCTACAACATGTTCTATCAAACAACACAGATGTTTGATAGAACATACTGAAGGCCAACTGAAAGTCTTTCTACATGGAACTTTCTTTTACCCAGTTTAAGATTCAGCAACCATCAGTGAAGCAGCTCTTTTAGTTGTTTAGTAACTGGCGACCTGTCCAGGGTGTGCCCCACCTCACAGCCGCTGTTAGCTGGGATTGGCTCTCCCTGTAAGCCTTCTAGAAATAAATGGTACAGATAATGGATGGATGAATTAAACAGATTTGTGAAAAGAATGAACATTTTAGGTTGGGGTTCTAGTGCAGGTGTGAATAATCTCAACAGGTTGTAACTAGACCTGTCTGTGTGTGTCTCAAGAATATGTCATGGAGCACTGGGAAGAGGACTGGTTCTTTGGCTACCAGTGTCTGAATGGTGTCAACCCAAGAATGATTCAGAAGTGCAACAAGCTGCCAGAAAACTTCCCTGTCACAGCTGATATGGTCCAGAGCTCCATGGGGGAGGGAAGAACTTTGGACAAAGAACTCAAGGTGGAGAAATAACTCCATATATGTTTACAGAGGCTGTAATAGAACATTTTAACAGCTTGGTTATTATTCATTCTTAACCTAAATGTTGTCCCAGTGCAAACATCCTCCGGTAATTCTACACTTGTCTTGTCCAGGAAGGAAATATATATTTGTTGGACTATGCCCTCACGGATGGGCTTCCAACTAACACCATCAAGGGAAAGCCTCAGTACATCGCAGCTCCCCTCTGTCTGATGTACCAGCACCCAGATGATGGACTCATACCGATTGCAATACAGGTAATTCGCTCAAGACTTAAGTGTGTGTGCACTATCACACAAAATCATGTCGTATTGTGTGAAGTTTGATGAGTATGTGAAGGCATGGCCCTCTCACAGAATAGAGTAAATGGTTTGAATTACATAACAAACATTTAAAAAAAATGTCCCATGCTATATTGGTTATCCATTGGTACCTACTCAGACATAACATGCTCTACTCCCTCACTATGACTCCATTTAGATGGTTTTCCATTTCAACTAAGGTTCTAACAGGAAAATATTTCATTAATATTAGTAATCATATAACAATATAGGACACAAGCAACATTGAAGGTGATGGTGGTGACGATATACCGACTGAATCTTGGTGTTGGACCGCGCTGTTGGTTAATTCATTAGACATTCACAATATTGATGATCATACAAAATGAAATTGGATGTTTGTTAATGCCCATCTTAAATAAGTGGGATTGACTAAAGGGGTTCACTTTAAGGATTAATCGATGTGACTCCCCAGCCAATCAGTGGCTTTCCTGTTCTGCAGTCCCTTCACTCCCAACACCTTTAGTGCCCTGATGAGAGACTAGACGACGAACCCTATGCACCCCAACTCGATGGGGTTGCATCGGGTTCTCAATACCCTACTTTGGCATTCGCCTGCCTGCTCCTCATACTTTGCTGGTTCCTCTCAAAGGCCTCCTTCATCCCTCCTTCTAAAGGAACAGTCAGCTCCACCAGGACCACCTACATTGTTGTTTCAGACAATGAGACTATATCTGGCCTGAGTGTGGTCACAGCAATGTTCTCTGGGAATATGTTCTCCCTACGTCGACCTTCGTCAGACCCCTTGCTCAACTCAGGTGCTGCTGTGGCTTCTCCCCAGCCCTTACAAAGGTGATGGCCTTTGTTGGGCTTCTGTAAATAACTTCAGAGCACGGTCTGACTTGCCCTTTTTGGAAAGCGTTTGGAGATAACAGTTGTTGTGATTTGGCGCTATATAAATAATATTGAATTGGACAGTCCAGTATGAGGTCCCAGATCTTGCCTTGAACATGATATCGTCCAAGCGAGGTTTTCATTACCTTGTAAGGGATAGACCCGTAGGCATTAGTAGGGTCGAGCCAGAGGACTGCCTGATCTCGTTTACCTTCACACGCCTGCCGGATCAACTGAGCGATGACTCCTATATGATCGATGCAACCTGTTTGGGAGTTTTGGGAATCCGCCTTTCTCCGCCGAAGTGTCGATGTAGATATTCCTCAGGAGAAACTCCGTCATGCAACAGTACAAAAAAATATCTTGCTCTCGACACCGAGGAGTGAAATGACCCTGGACTGCTCGGTGGCTCTTGAGCTCTCCTCCTTAGGGATCCAGACTCCCTCTGCGTTACTCCACTGTTTTGCCACCTCCCCCCTTCTCCAGATGACTTTTAGGATTGCCCACAGTCACCTCAAGGGTCTCGGCATCTCTTGTAGACAACATACAGCACTTCACTTGGACCTGGGGCTTAGCTGGTTCTAGCCATTTTGATAACTGCCTCAAATTCCTTGAGAATTGGCTCCTTGATGTTGATTGTCACAATGGGTTCTGGCAGGGTTATCAAGGTCCTGCATGGTCCAAGATGTTCCTCTTTTGCACTGTCACTGTAGGTGGTGTTGAGGTGTTTGTTAACCTCGTCTTCAGGGCAGGCAAGGTGGCTACTTTTTTCTGCCCAGGGATCATTTCGGTGAAGCCAAAGGGATTTGAGACAAATGCTGCGCATTTCCTGGCTCTTTCCCCACCCCTCCTCCGATGCCACTCAGCTCGGCAGAGGGTGGAAAGTTTTTTCCTCAGGATGTTGTGAAGCTCTGCCAGCCCAGCCTTCTCTTCCTCCTTTGCATGCTTTAACTGCCACCCAATCAGCCTAAGCTCTTGCCGAAGCTGGCTTATCTTCACTTCCCTTCTGTTTGGCTCCCTGCGACCTCTGGTTGGCTACTGCTCCTTCATGCCAGACCTTTGCGCATCAATGCTGATAATCATTGCAGCAATTGTCCGCAACTTCAGGTCTGTTTCACCCTTTGCGGTGGCTTGAAGGACTTGGTCCAGGTCCTTGTCAAACTAGAGCCACTTCCTCCCCTTGTCGGCAGCTGGACACATGACCCAGCAGTGTTCTGAATACCTGACACAGGGAGGGGCTTGTGGAGGGTCTGGGCTCTGTGGGTGGACTCCTGGCCGGGGTACTTCTGCGTCTCACTAGGTTCTGGACTCGTGCATTGCTCCACCACCTGCCCTGTCAGCTATTTTATTTTGGCCTGGTGGATCTTCAGGCCATGCTGGTTCTTTCACTAGCTAAGCCAGATCAGCTCGATTTCATATACACTCTAAGTGCAACTTGGACACATCATCAGTGTTGTATCCTAGGTTCACTGGGTGTTTCGGGGCTCATGACCGACATCCTCGTCCAGGTCACCCAGCTAGGGTTGATGATGGTTGCTTGTGTCTAAGTAGCCTGTGTAGCCCACAGATTGATCAACACCCATCTTGATGCCTTTTCTGCTGCATCAGTGATGTCTTTGATAGCTCTCCTGTTCTGCAGTCCCTTCATTATCAACACCTTTAGTGCCTTGATGAGCGTGGACGACGAACCCTCTCCACCCGACCTCGATGGGGTTGCATCGGCTTCTCCATCCCCTGCTTTGGCATTCATCTACCAACTCCTCATCCTTGGCCCACTTCCTCTCGAAGGCCTCCTCCATCCGTTCTTCCCAAGGAACAGTCTGCTCCAGCAAGACCACCTGTATTGTTGTTTCAGACACTAAGACTAAGTCTGGTCTGAGTGTAGACACTGGGACGTTCTCTGGGAATTTGAGTTGTCTCCCTAGGTCGACATTCATCTGCTTGTCCCGAGCAGTTGCCAGCAGACCCCTGCTCAACTCTGGTGCTGCTGTGGCTTCTCCCCAGTCCTAACAAAGGCAATGGCTTGCCTTGCTGGGGGAGGCCCTAATCCTTCTCCAACATTAGTACTGATCTTCAGGTAGAGCAAGCGTGTGATGCTTATGGAAAACGGAGAATAAAAGGAATTGATGTGCAAATATAGAATGTTTTACATCTGTAAAGTATAATGAATCTTTGTGTTGAAGAGAACAATGACATTGGTAGCATTTTAAAGACAGAGTTCATGCTTTGTTTTTTGGTTAGAAACAGGACTGTCCAATAAGTGTATCTTCTTTCTCTTCAGCTTGATCAAAGTCCAGGTCTGAGCACACCAATATTCCTGCCCAAAGACCCACCTCTGGCCTGGCTGTTGGCCAAAATATGGGTGCGTCATTCAGAGTTCCAGATGTTTGAGATCTCAACTCACTTGCTAAGAACTCACCTGGTAGCTGAGGTCTTCTGTGTGGCTACTCTGAGACAGCTGCCAGCAGTACACCCCATACACAAGGTATGTGTCCACAGTCTCAAAAAGAACCTGTGTTAGTTTCATATCCATACTGTCTTTGCAGAAAGAAAACTTTCTGCTGTTTCTCCTGAACATCTACAGTGTTTCTTTTTGAAAATGGAATTGCCTTAAAATGTAGAATAAAGAAGCCCCCTCTAATTTCTCTTTCCCAACACTGAACACAAAACATGTTTTCTTCATTAATCCAATGGTTTGTTTATTGTGAATGCGTTATATTAAAGCTTTTTTAGCTCTCCTTTTTCTGGTTCAGGAGGAAGGAGCAGTTGTATCTGTCAGCTCATTGGAGGGTCAGAGGGACAATGTACTCTGTTTCATTCCCTGAGTAAAAGTAGAGATTTTACTGGTCAGATATTGATCCAGTAAATGTAGTTCGGTCAGATTATTACTTGAGTTAAAGCACTTGAGTGTTTGATTGACTATAGGTAATTATTTATTCTGATTTTAGACATTAATTGTATGTTTGCCATCGGTATTTCTAAAAGTGAGACCTTTTTGGTTTGGTTACAGTATTGTTACAGTTTTCTGTGTCGTCCTGTTATAGCTCTTGGCCCCCCATCTGCGCTACACACTAGCGATCAACTGCAGGGCACGGAATCAGCTCATCTCTCCAAATGGCATCTTCAAACAAGTATGTCACTGGCACAACATTTGAATCACTATGATAAGAGCTTTATAACAATTCATGTCAAAGAGATGGCACAACCTGTTTTATTAATCAGATTTTATATATCATGACATCATAAAAATCATCTTGGTTCTCAGTTTATACAATAGAATCTAAAATAAAAATGGCGTACACCAAAACATTTTAGAAAAGGCCAGCACAGAATTGTTTTTATAAATCACAGCTGCATCTCAACGTTTTCATCTGAAGTTCACCCTAATATTCCACACTCCACATTCAAAGCACCTCACTATTGTCAATGTGTATTTCAATCATTTTAAAGATTTCCAATAGTCATTTATTGGTCTGCCAGAAGCCCATAATAGCTGTGGCTGAAAAGTCTCCTGCTTCATTTCCATGAGCCCCGTCATGTCAACAAGAATAATGACATCCTGCTCATCAAGGTGATGTTTGGGTGAAGGTTGTCTCCACAGGTGGGGAGGGCCTCTTGGTTCTGGCCCAGAGGGATTACAAGCAGTTGACCTACCGCTCCCTTCAGCCCCACTGTGACTTCAGTGACAGAGGAGTGTGCCAGCTTCTAAAATATTTCTACAGGGATCACAGTCTGATGCTGTGGGAGGCCATTCAAAGGTAGATGACATGATCACAAATCTGGAAAGAAACTATTGTCTTTTACCAAATCCATACTGAGTATTTCTTATGTAACTGGGGTGTGTGTTTCTGGGGGGGGGGGGGGGGGGAGGTGGCGAAAAAAGTTTCTCTACTACTGGACCAACAGAGGCAATATAATGTACACAGGTGACGCAGTTACAGTGTGGATGCGGCTCGTGGAACACAAACTTATCTTTCGGTATCTTGAATTTTACTAAATGACTACAGCCTCTCGCACTTTTTTCCCCCGGAATCCTGTGTTAATTGCATTCTAGTTTTACTTCCCTTCTTAAGGTAGCATATCGTTTTGAGTAGGATTACAACCGAATTTGGCATTGTTGACAGGACTGACTGTTAGTGTTTTATTCCAATTGTTTTTGTCTAGTCTTGGGCCTTGAGTGCTAGTGGGATAAAAACAGTAAGACAGAAGCCCGCCCTATCGCTTCAGTCTTTCACGCATTGGTCGCCAATTTGATGGAGAATTATAGTTGCATGCAGTCGTTTGTAGAAGCACAACTGCAATTATTCCAATGGACTTAGCTGGACGGTCAAACACTCCTTGAAATCTCTCATGATCTTAAGTCCTTCATTGACAAAACTCTTCGTAAAACCCCAGGTGGGATTACAACCCACAATCCGATTTTGCGTGATCAATTCATTGAACATGTTTCTGACAATACATTGCTCAGAGAGTTGAAGCAGTGTGTGATTAAAACCCCACACATCTCCCTTTATTGACCACTGTGCAGTTGCAATAGGTTGGACAGAAGCTGGTAGACAAAGCAGCAAAAGTCAGTTGCATATATTGTGCTCTCTACCATACAGCCAAGTAAAGGTTAAGGTCACACTAGGTTACACTGATGCAGAGAGCAGGAAATGGGTTTGTGGGCTCATCTGAAGATAACAGAGAAGATCCTTTGTGTCTTGTAGGAGGTTTTCCAGTCATTGACGTTGACGTGGACGTGGGGGTTGTCATAATCCCTTGCTTCCTTGACACTGGTTCGATGGTCACCACTATTAGGGAAAGCTTCTTTGTAAAACCTTTAAACCTCATGGGTTTGGACTTTTGAAGTGGATGCGGCTTAAGGCTGCTAAGGGACTGAAACTTCCCTACAAAGGATACATGTGTTAGCCCGATTCTTTAGTTGGAAACCTGAGAATAAACCAGTAGATCAAGTACAAAAATTACATTTATTAGGTCACAGGCAAAGTATATCAGCGCTGGGGTCTTCACAGACAAAAACCTCTCTTTTAGGATCTCAGTCGTCAAAGAGCTCTGAGATCTGGGTGTGATGGATATTATCTCCAGGGCTCGGTCCGCCTTTACAAAGGAGGACTGGACATGACCAAGTCCTATTGTCTAGTTACCTCCGGGCATAAATATGCCAAGTCTTAATTCATGCAGATGACATTGGAATGTTTCAAATGGTCTTACTGTACATATTTAGTTGATTTTTACTTGAAAATTTATTTCAGTTGGTACTTGGTGGGTATGTGTATTTTTTCTTTCTGTCCATTGCACCACTCCCTTGTTTTTTTTCTGCTGTAACAGAAAAATTGCTTATCCTGGGTAGGCACGTCATTCTCTGTAACAAAGCATGGAAGCATGAAAGCCTTTTAGAACATTTCAACGTCATACGTTAGTAATTTTAATTTTATTTGCCAAGTGGTGTTTTTTCCGTCATCATTTAGATGAAAAATGCTTTGATATGAATACCTGAGTAAAATATATATTTTTACAGTAATTACTTAAAAAAACAATATCTATTTTACCAATGATAAAGTATTCATAAGTTATAGAGAAATACTAAACTGTCACCTCTTCCAGTTTTGTCTCAGGGATGGTGAGCCTTTATTACCAGAATGACCAGGATGTTCAGAAGGACTCAGAGCTTCAGGCTTGGGTCAGAGACATCTCACAGGAGGGTTTCGCAGATCTTCCCAACTTTGGTCAGTCACTAACATCCTAGATCTTTTTCATTATCGTCTGTAAGGATGAGCTTGATCAGCACTAGTGTACCTAGTGATAGAAGAAACATGCAGTGTTACTTATATTAGGATGACAGGTGTGAGGGACATTACTGTAAAACTTAATAGAAGAAAAGCCTTGGACAACTGGAACATGAGTCAATGATCATCTGCAGATCTGTAGACCAATGTCAATGTTCTTTTTTCCTTCCTAATATGCTGTTAGGTTCTTTAAACAGGTCATTATAAACTGACTACAGTAACTGCTCTGGAGTCAGCTAATAGGCTCTTGTTCAGCTGATGTCACCAGAAAGGTGTTTCAGTCACCAAAGGATAGAATACAGTATTGTGATACACTGGTGATCAAAACTAGAGAACAATTTAACAAAAACTGTTTTTTCTGAAATAATGTAATCTTCACTGCTCAACAGTTGATGGACTTTTTGTGTTGTCTATCTAAACCATACCACTATAACAATTTTTCCACGTCAAAGTAAGGCATTTCAACAAAAAACTATATATAACAGAAAACACACTCATCAAAGTTAGAGAACACATTCAGATAACCCCCAGTTAGTGGCGTTTATCTGGCACCTGGTGTTAATTTCCTTGATTATCTGTCAACTCCTATTTAACTGGCAGCCTAACTGCCTCTTCAAGATGGTGGGCCATCTTGAAGTAACTGAAAGTCTCCGGTAGCACGTAATCCAGATGAAGGCAAAAGGAATTACCCTATCAACCATAGCAAGACAAGTATATCATTCCAAATTTGTGAATGCTGGTCATTCACAGAAGACTGTTTTTAATCCATTTTAATCAGTGTATTTTTGTTTAAATTCTGTGGTTTTGTCGTGGAAAGAGTGTTCTAACAGCATGGTATTTACACAATGAAAAATAAATCGACTGTAGAGTATTGAAGATTACATTGTTTGAAAAAAAAAACTTTTGTGTGTAAGCTGTTCTCTAATTTTGATCACCAGTGTATCCTTTGAGCTCTGCCATCAATGGAAAAATAACATTTAAGTTAAGGAAAAGACTATTAGCTTCACTTGTGATTGTATTCCTCTTAAAGAGGGAATTCTATTCTACATGTGCTTCTGTTTACATGTGATGAGGGCGTGTTTCAGGTCTGCCAAGTCAGCTCATCAGCAGAGAGGAACT